GTTTCATCTCGTTATATAGGACTCACCTGGTAAGGTAGGATTCCAGATTTGGCCGCCTTGCTCCTATAGATATTGTGGGATCAGGATCCGCTTTTGCTAAATGATTCCGGTCCAAGCTCTTGCAAGAAAAATGCATATGAAAACCGAGTGCAAAGGTGGCTGAGTTTAGCTGTAGCATCACGGGCGTTGCCACTCATGTTGAGATCTGTGTCAGGTCTGACCGTACTAAACATGGTCACAAGAGGGCATGGAGGGCAGGGTGTGACCGTAGACTGCAAGCAGGACCTCGTGGTGGTCTTGTGTCCTGGAGAGAGAAGCTCAGCGCCGGCGCACCCGAGGCAGATACTGTGACAGCAGTGTAGTTCCCAGACCATTTTTGATCTTCTGCAGACAGATTGGGGATCAAGCAAACATGGTTGCGAGGCGGTTTTCCACTTCAGGTGGTAGTGCTGTAGCTGTTTGCCGATTAAATGCAGATTGGCTGGTTGACGTGTTCAGATTCTTGGCCTAGAGGCGCATGTTGCCCAATGCATAGGGCTAACAGTATTCTGAGATGGTAGCTACAGAAGTTTCGAGGATTTTCAAGATGAGTCGAGCGGAGTGCCAAAGGTTTCAGATTTTTTCTTGGTTAGTCCTTGGAGGCTACTTGCTGTGCGAGTCGCATGTCATCTGAACGCTTGTTCGCTTGATGATGCACTGATGGCCACATGCTTCACGGGCTCCTTGCAAACCAATCAATTCTGTCCTGAGCAGATCCCCAAGTGCCAACCTTGAAAGAACATAGAGCCTTTCATGAAACCTTTTTGGCTGAGAATTTGATAATCGAGCCTCGAACGGAATCCATCCATTCAGTGGTTCAGCAGCTATTGCAAGGCCTGTGTCTCAGGCCAATATGGTCTTCAGGTCAAGGAAGATTGCACAAGGCAAGTGCGTGTGATTCAACTTGAACCACAACATTTGCAATCAATCAGGATCAATAAGCAGTCACAGTCACGGGCCTTGCCTGTAGCAGCGAGCACTGCAATGTTACCACTTAGAACCTGAAAGCCTCAACTTTGACATGCACGCGTCAGCTGCTTGACAGCTGAAATCTTCCAACCCTTGCAACCGGAACGTTTTTCGTCTGATGTTCACTGCAACAGCTGCTGCGCAGTCACACTGGAGGCTCATCTGCTGGGCAGTGAATCTGTTCGCGCCGTGCGCATGGATGCTTTCCAAAGGCCTAGTCGGTTAATTCCTATCACAACTTGTCCTGCTGCATGGTCAATTAGCCACCACAAGCCTCAAGCATATGGTCCATTGAGGAAGCGGGCATGGTTGGCAAAAATCGGAATGCTAAAAGTAAAGAAAATAATGGCAGATGCGCACAGGATCAAGCTGGCTGGAGCAACTGGATCACCAGGCAAGATTCTTCGATGTCGATGGTTTGTATGGAGATTGCTTTCCATTTGGGTGCGTTTGATGAGGTTCCCGGCTCTTGGCGCAGGTTCTCGGTTCGGGGCCGGGGGCTTGCTGACCCAGCACTCAACTTTCATTTTGTAGTATGGCTTTGTACAGGCATCCTTTGTCTAGAGCTGCGGTGACAGCCCGTCATGGCTTGGGTGGATCGCTGAGATTCTGATTCCGTTTGAGGCGTCCTGCAGGCCATGGGAACAGATACAGGAAACTTATGCAGAACCGAGCCAAAACAACGGATATTGTAGAAGAGGTCACTACCTGAGATAGAGAGTAGAGTTCAGATTCCAATCCTTGAGTCTCCACCAAGACAAGGCCTACATGGCGTAAGAAAGAGTGTGTAATAAGATGGGTGTGAGCCTTCTTGTTGTTCAACTTCCAGAGGCCCGATGCCTAAGGCCTAAGGCCTGGTCACACTCAGACGGTGAGAACGTGCTAAGCATTGTTGATTTTTTTGGTTCGTCATGAACCTTTCCTGCAGAAACCTTAGAAGTTTTCTCATCCCTGGGTCGAGAGGCTGCGTTTCGCCACGAGGGATCGGCGGCTGCCTTGGCATCTCGGGTAGCACAATCGTGGTGTTGGTACATCTTCTAGGTCGGGAGAGGGTAGGTACCAGAAGCGCCCTCTAAGCTTCTTCAATACATGTATGGGTGCAAACCTCAAATCTCCATACTTGACTTTACTCCATGACTGACTCAGGCCTGCATTTCGGCTTGCTTTGTTTCGGATTTGCCCTGCGGCGTTAATGAATGGAACATGTTCGCGAACAAGAAGCTGAGATGGATAGTCTGGGGTGAATTGGAAATCTAGCGTTTCAGGTTGAACAGGTTTTCATGAGTCCTACAGACACCCTGGTCAAGCTAGACAGTATGGATTGTTGTACTTGATTTAAGACACAGGGATTTGCGGTCTCGCTAGTCACTCCACAGCGGCTCAATGATCTTGTTTCCAATGACTCGAAGATACCGCTCAAGCCTTATAGCTCGAAACCCCAGCAGTCCTTAGAATCAGGGGCTAAGCAGCCTCTAGCAAAAGTCACGTATTGCACTCTGACGTTCAATGTCGATATGTGGCGGGAACATTCAGCAGACGTCCACAGGTTCCAAACAGAACATATCATGCACACGTTTTGAAATCCATTCGGTGGCTGTGTTGTTTTAAGATGTAGCTCAAAGGGTCCCCGTTAGACTGTTTCATACAGGGGCTTACCCGAGATCATAACCAGAAGCATTGCCGCCAACCACAAGTAAACATCAGAATTTGAAAAGAGACATAAGGGCAAGTGAAAAGTGGCTGGGCGGGGTCACGGTCACAGTGATGCCCCTTATTCAAGCAGGACTGAACCTTCGAAACAAGCCAGATGGGCCCTCAAAGTGTTGCGGATCTAGGGCTTGGGCCGGCTTGGCAACTGCAGGTTGAATCAATGCTTTTCAGCGTTGCTGCATAACGGAGTTGGGCTTGACGAGCTGCAAGCGCAAAAGACCAGAGACCGTACACTAGCAAGCTTCGTGTTAAATTCCGAAGTCCGCACTCCCGCAGCTTGCACAACCCTACCCGAGTCCGAGAAGATACGGAATTAGACGGAATTAGTTTATCCCTTTGATCCATATACATTACATCGCTTGCATGAGAGAAGGTCCTGGGCCGGCAGCTCGAAAGAGCTGTGAACTTTGCATCCCTGGATCAGTTGGTCCGAGTTCCTCGGGCTTCTTTACGGCTTCCACCCGATAGAAGGCAGGAAACCGTTTGCCCATTCATGATTCAGGTCAAGCTCGCAGGAGCTCAGGAGCAGTAAGCTAAACGGCTGCCTAGCTCTGCTCCTGTGCACTTTCGGCGAAGCACCAGGAATCTGTGAGTATCTGTATAGTATCAGAGCTGGTCCAAAACAGATCTGGAATGCCAGTGAGGTGACCAAAGCGGCTCAACAGATGTCTTCTGCCAAAACAGCAGCTGGAAGCCGCCGTCGAAAAGGCAGATCTCCTATCCTGTTCTCAATTATTGAGGCCAGCGGGGGCTAGAGGTCCCTTGGTTCAATGTTTCAAGATCAACGGCATTGGGCGGAATGTCTCACATTCAACCTCGAAGATTGTTGCTTGCTGAGGCTTAATTAGTTTGGGTGCCTGTAGAATAGAGTGCTGTGCATAGTATGTGGGCAACATACTAAGATGGAAGCGAGCTTTGTGTAGGCGTAGATCACAATGCTGACCATGTGGAAGTTTCGTGGTTCAATGTTTCATCCTGAAACGAGTTGGGATTTATTATGAGGCTCAGGGCTTCCTCTGTCCAAGAGGCAGACTCGAGACTTTGATTTAGGCATTCAGGTTGAAACTGCCACAGGCCTTTCCTACGAATGAATTCAACTCCCAGCGCCGGAGGACTCTTGTCTCCAAAATATGGTTGACCCCAAATCCCACACGCTGGTACGAATCTTTCTTCAGCCCATACCTCTTGCTGAAGGCGCAGCTAAAGCTAAGAAGTGGGCTGAGCCGCGTGATCCCTGGCTGAAACTCTTGTAACGTGCGTGCGCCGTTTGGGCTTTGGGCTCTGGGTTCAGCTAGTGATCCAGGATGCTCTGGAGCAATGCAATCATTTCTGGATTCAAAATTCTCTCGGGCATGGAATAGGCCATCAGGAGTTTGCATAATGTCAAGACAAGACCCACTCGTTCCAGTGAAAAAGAACGCTACACACATGTACATGTCCGCTGACTATTACTGCGGACACTGATAGACAAAGGTCCCAACAGGTCAGGAGAATGCGCGCGCAGGCGGGCGGGCACGCCACAAGAGTACTTTTCACGAGTTTGGGAAGATCCTAGAGCCGATGCCCCAAGTCATCAATTCTTAGCACAGTCGGCTGGAATCATAACATCGTTGCTGAGAACCTGAGGACCACCGCAGTGGCCGAAACCCGAACGGCCTGAATCTTTACATTCCACGGCGGCGGCCAGGTTTCATTGAGATATCTGAAGCCGAGGAAGCAGCAGCACAGGATGGGGGTAAAGCATGTCAGAGCTAGGCGTCACATGGAACTCCAGCTTATTGGTACTGTTGCCTACTATTTCGGTATTTTTGGAGGTCGTGTGAGAAGTGCCTGCTGATGCCTTCATATTCGGATCCTGGGATCCTGTCCGTATAGGACCGCCTTGAAGATCTTGAAGGCAGTTGTTTTTATAGCCACGGCCTTCTGCTGAGGGACACCTGATTGCATGAGGACCTGCAGGGGTGTTTTCTACAGCACACAAGTCTGAAACCCTGCCGGTCAAGACCAACAACTGTTTGACATGCTGCAGCATATATGTTAAACCTGTAGAAATTCGAACGGCTTAGCGTGGAACTTCGGGCATCTTGAATGAAGTGTTGATAAACTATCTCAATCAGGCAACTGCTGCTCTCAATGTGACACTGCTGTCGCTTGCTTTGAACAAACCTTGCTGCTGAGTCAAAGCCTACAGTACAGTAAGCTGTACATCTTTGTCATTTTCAGCAAGATATTCTTCACCGGCTGCTGTGCCGTAGCGTACTCTTTCAAGCTGCGGCTTCAAGGAAACTCTCTGACACGGACAGAAGCACAGTGATCGGTGCGGCCAAAGCAGCCGTGAAGCCCAAAACTGCCTTCCTGGGCAGCTTGGCCTCCAAAGTTTACCTATCGATCGCGCTTAGACAAGCAGCTCCACACCGGCTCGTGACTAAGTAACCAGACTCTTACAACGCCGGTAGATGTCGGGAAGTAATTCGCAGCCACGGCCAATTCATAAAAAGGTTCGGCTTGAATTCCTGATCAGCATACTTTGGGACGAAGAGTCAGAATTTCAAGTACGCATCTAGCATGCGGGCATTGCATGATCCACACTGCGCCCGCAGCCCTTAACGCATTTTCAGAATACTCAGTCTACAGCACTTTGTCTCTTGTCACGTGAGGTTGACGGTCTCCAGTGGTTTGTAGGTCAGAAAAAGGTTCAAAAAAAGGGGAAGGTTCAAGCAAGCCCTTACCAACAGACCATCCATGAGGTAGCTGAGGGAGCTTAACAGCGTAACCTTCTTATCATACCTTGACAGGTTGATGGTATCCAGTCAGGAATGGTGCTAGGATCTCAGGGTCAGCTGGAAGCTACAGCTCTTTGTCTTGCCAGCTTCGATGCGGGGTCTTTTCATGAAGCCGCTCAATCAGAGTTTGTGACTAGTATGGAGCCAACCTGTGCTTCGATTCTGTCTTGAACGTGGAGTATGGGATGAGGGAAGCTTATCTACCCGCACAGGAGCTGTAGTTGTTTTGCGTTTGGGGACAGGAACCACTGTTCTCTGATCGGATGTTCATGTGCTCTCGTATTTTTGCAGCTGCTTCAAAGCTCCACGTAGCTTCTGATACCAAGAAGGCAATTTTCCCCGGATTGTGCTTAACAGTCCTTGTTGGGCAGCTTCCAGACGTTTGGAGAAGCTCAGGTTGCAACATCAAGGTGGGCCAGGATCTTCGAGCTTTGGCTGCATCGTGTTGCCAGATTAGGGTTGGCACCTGCTCGCATTTCAGGATGACGTCCTGACAATATGAGCTAGCGTCAATAATTGGCTTGCTAAAGGGCCATTAATGTTGGACACGTTTTTGGGGAGTAGTAAATCAATATATAGTCCAAAATTCATGATTACGTTGCCAAATACGGGCCTAGGGCCTAGTTTTTCCAAAGCACGTCTTCAAGGACACCGCGACCTGCTGTAGGAACCTGAACATCGATTGTTGGTGCAGTTGCTCGTGCTTAATGTGACAGATGCCGTTTAAATCTAGCCTCTGCGAGTCTCCCCCTCAGAACACGCGGGGGCTTACCAGTCCTTAAAATGAGGAGTGCTCCCGAACCCGAAGGTCTCTTCTTGCAGAAGCACCGCCCTTCCGCGCGCGAAGCTGAACAACTTTGCGTGCGCAGGGAGGTCGGGGATTCCAGTGATCTGGTTGCTTGGAAAAAGGGATTCTGCACGGAGGCAACCAACTTTCACTCCAACATGTCTCTAGGCTAGTTTGACCTTGCATGGCAGGAGCTTCCTTGTACAGGTGATGTGGAAGGACTGATCGAAGATGCATGCACCGTGGCAGCCTTGTCAACTTTCCAAATTTCAAATCATCACTTGCGGTTAGGTGGAGTAGACCAGTTTCGCAGCAACACCTGGGACCCAATAGTATTTACCTCGGGCCCAGGTAGAGGTTAGTTCGCGCTAGCCTTTGAGAGTGGCTTAATTTGGGTGATATGTGGGCCACGGGGCTGTCATAGGCTGACTCGTGTTATCTCGTGTCCAACTCCAGATGAAGCTATGGATGGCCAAGGCTTTGTCCCAAACCCTTGAGAAGAGGCCCAAGTCCCTAACGGTTTCAGTAAATGGAATCGAGAGCTGGCAGCATATTAGGAGCTAAATACAGACCTGTGCAGCGCTCAGACCCGATGTCGTCCTCAGCCCAGGCAGATTAGAGCTGGGCGGCTTGCTGTCACAGGCTTCGATTGTGCAGCTTGCGAAGAAGTGGCAGGCAGGATGTGCTCGGACTACTTTTGTGATGCAAATCTCGCCTAATACCCGATCCTGGGTGTGCTGCAGAACTGCAAAACGGTGTGCGAGCGTATGGTGCGTTACAGTAATAAGATTCGCATCCTTGCTCCGCGTTTGATCTGGAAGCATTGGGCCACGCTGCCCCAACAACGACGCAAAGGTACTGTGCGATGAGCCAGTCAAAGAGAGAATAACCATCGGGGAGACTGAAAGATGCTGAGGGCAAGAGGTGCGCAGTCAAACTTAAGGTGTGACCTCTTGAGGACATGCCAAAGTCTTAGCAGGATAGATTCCTCTCCGGCATCCCCAGGCCTCAACCTGAAACGTGTTCTACATGTGAAACTTTTCACCTTGCCAGCGGATTGCGGTTTTAATTGTACCGCGCTCTGAGGCAAACTGATGTGCGTGTGCTGGGCAGGGTTTGGAGTTGAGTGGAAGTAGAAGCTTTTTCAGGAGCCCCATTCTTGAGCCTGCCACGCAGGTGCTAACTGGAAAGTGGCTGCTCTTTGTTCCGGAGTGGCGTGTTGATGAATTGTTTCTCGGCTGCTTATGTCAAAGAGAAATTTGAATGCGTTGTTTGCTCCAGCAAGTATTTTCAATATGGTGACATTGGCTTGGCACGCCCACTCGCAAATTACAGGGTTTGCATCACGTTCCTTGAATTCGACCAGAAGCAAGAAGGCCTCGCCTTGAGATGCACAGGGCAGACTCTGGAGGCCCGAACGTAACCTTCCCGCGAAAAGACCCATTGAGTGCGTCTACGCACGCCTTACACGGAATGTTCATGAACAGCCGGCACTCGCAAAGCAACAACTATGTGTCGGGACAACATTAAGATCAAGCTCGGGATGCACAATGCAAACACGACTCACCACAGAATACCTCTCAGATTTTGTTCGTGATTCTCGATGAAGAAGAACGAAGTGCCCACGTCAGTTGACCTGAAGTTCTTCTACTTGTCATGAAAACCACCAGTAGCAGCTTGAAGCCGCAAATACTCTAACATGCGATTCCTTGAGGTTTGAGCTGGCAGCCAATCGTCTCCATGAAGGAGACATGCCAAGCTGTTCGCACATTGTGGTGTCTCCACCGGGAACGCTTCTCAATCAAATTTGCCCGCGCTTTTACACATTTTGAACACCTCAAGATCTCAGGGTACAGTGTACACCGGCAGAACAGCTAAGTACTGCTTTGTCGATGGCCGTGATTGCCCAACATTAACCTACACACCTCTACTGGCACAACCCCATCCTCGGAAGTGAGACAGGTGTGTAAGTTTCATCGGGTGGCAGTAATCCTCAAAAACCTCCTGCAAGTCCAGCATGCGTCCTTCAAATCAAAGCATGATTTGTCCAGCCACAAAGACTCTGGAAGAACATCGCTGTCAGAAATTGTTCGCGGAAATGACAAATTGCCTTCAGCTGGGAAGCCTGTATGTCCGAACCACCAGTATTGAGGTATGGTACAGATCCTGCGAAGTATATGTTGAGCGCGCACACCCCGGACTTCACCGACCAGCAATCTGTGATGCAGCTTGGCACGGGTTGTCTGATCTTTGACCTACCGTTTAACAAGTCCTTGTAAAACTTGCATCCACAGGTCGCTGGGGAAGAGCCTCCGTGCCGCCGCACGGAATGGCCTTCGCTGCGTTGCTGGGGACCACGGGTGTTGGCAGGTTATTGAGGGCCTCTAAAAGACATCGTCGAGGAGGTCAAAGTCTGATGTCGTGATGTTGCACAAGTTCATTCATTCGACACGGGGCCCTGACTTCACACTTCTAGTGTGTCTCAATTGCAAGACCATTCTGACATGGATTACGTAGCCCATTGTTGCGAAGGATTGTTATCCTGCGGAAAATTGCAGCGGCGCAGGTTGTACAGAGATTTTTCTCGTATGGCTAGAGGGATGGCTGACAGATGGCAGGAAGGAAGAAAGTATGAAGCTAGAACGTGACACGTCCTAGCGCCTACGTCCTGTGCCTACACTGCAGGATTGGGGGGAGCTTCGGGATGATCCTTTTGCCGCCCCTGGGAAGAAGGCAGGACAGCCGATACCTGAGGAAGGGCATCAGTTTACAAAGGAGTTGGGCTTTGATTGATGAGGATTCTGGGGGATTTGAGATTCAGATCTTTCATTTTCTCGATCTTTGTTCTCAGGAGCGAGTGCGGGGCTGAACTATCGATGAGGTGTTGAACGAGTATTGCATGACGATATGTGTGGATTAGCTGGATTATCTGTGGACACTGCCATTTGCACATGTCCAGTTTCCTGCCTTCGCAGGTTTCCCTGGTTTTCAAGCCGGACGTGTTCACGCGTTTGAACATGCACAAGATGCTGGGCTGCTGAACCTAGATAGCTCTTACTGTAAACTGTGCTGACCAGGTTGCTCTCACTCGAGCGCCCAAGTGCTGAATTTCAAAGCCTCGTGCATTCACTCAACTGTCTCGGGGAGAAGATTGTGGTAATGGGCTGCCATCAAATGCTTTCGATTTGAGTCTCAGTATAATTATGAATATCAGATGTAAAAGCTTGCCACCAACCCCTATGCTGAAGCACATCTCGGTGCAGAATCCTTGCCATGTGTAACAGGGTTGCTCTCAGTGCAGATGAGGAAGAACGCGTACGGCATCAAGACGACACTCCATGTTCTGGACTTGTGACAGCAGGAAAAGGGTGCGTCTATTGCTGGTGATGTGGCTGGTGTTGCCGCCGGGGATTCAGGCTGAAAGGCAGCAAACCGTTTTACGTCTCTCCAAGATGCTTACAATTTGGAAGGCACAGATAGATGGCAGACACGGGATGCATCTAACGTGAGGTTCTCGCTCAGAGGGTGATCCGAAACCAATTATCCTGAATTGCAGCTTCTCAACCTGAATGTTGCCTTGCACGACTATAGCATTGGGTAAGATCTAGATGGTGCCTCATGCAGCGCAAGGCATGTCCTTGCGATGTGTTGCAGAGGCTATACCAACGTCTGCAGGTTAACTAGTCGCATTGGCAAAGATGATGCCTGTAGAAAGTCTGGCTGGGGTATTCCATTTTACGTAGGCAGGGACTTGCGTGCAACCTAGCTAGAGGAGCTTGACATGCGATCCTGTTGAGAGGCACATAGCCCTGCACCTTCATCCTTCATCTCCCAGATGTCCCCATTATCTACAGTTTTCCACTCTGTGCAGCCAGAAGGCCAGACAATCAAGATCAACCTCCCCGGTAAAAGCCGGCGTCGAGAAGAAAAAGCGGAGGCTCTGCGGACTGATTGAGGGCCCAGGAGAGGCCACTTGAATTTCAGGTTTGCTCGCCTGATGGTCACGTGTTTGTACTGTACCGTTGACGCCTGGAGGTGCAATGCCTAAAGTATGATCCTTGCTGTTGGGGGAGCCCCCGCCCTCCCCACCCCCATGAATAATGATCCGAGATCCGAAAAGGAAAAGTAGATCATACTAAGTGCAGGTAGTACAGCAAAGTAGCGGTAGTAAGAGCTAGGGTAAGAATGAGAGGTTAGAGCAAGAGCTTGCGTGAGAGGATGAGGAATTAGAATACAGTTGATTTTAGTTAGAACCTGTCTGTTTTTCACTAGGTTATAACTCATTTGAATAATCTGATATTTAAACCTGATGCTAACAAATGTTTAGTAGATTTCAGTTGTTGTAAGTATACAGAGGTTGGGAAACTAATGACACTGAAAAGACGTTGCTATTGTTCTATAGGGGGTTTCCATAAATCCATGAATATGAGTAAAGATCCTCATACGCAAGGTGCGTAAGGCTTAGCCTCGGAAGCAATGTGGAGCCTTGAATTCTTAGCGAAGTTCACTATAGCAAATAAGGTCTCAGAATCAGCTCTATTTTCCATCTTAAGAACAGCCTAAGCTAATCAGGCTTCTGAATCAGATCTCGCTTTTCTGGTTTCAGAGCAGCCTAGTAGTGTGACTGAGTCTGTATGAAAAGGTTTCTGAAACTAATGACCCTGAGAAAAAAGTTGCTATCATTCGGGGGTTTCAATAATTTCAAAGAAAGATATTCTCATGCAAGTTCCGAAGGGGTAGCTCAGGAAGCCATGTTTGAGCCTTTGATTCCTAAGGTTTTTTCATGAGCAAATCAGGTCTTAGACTCAGCTCTCTTTTTAAGATCAGCAAAGCGATTGAGCAAAACCTTCCTTGGATTTAAGCTTTAGCTCGTAGCGTCTCAGGATTTCAAACTAAACTTCAGGCCTTTTAAATTGATCTCCTGATTAGGATAAGCCTTCCTTGTTTCCTAGGGTCTGGAAGTGGTTTTCTTTTAGTCTAGGGGTGTTTGGGGCCCAAAACGGCCGATGACGTGCTCTTGGACGCCTAACTTGGCCCATAAGCATGTCGTCCCTAACATCTAGGGTCTTTTATTAATGAAGACCATGGATTATTTCCTTGGGAAGCAAGTTGTCTTGTGTGCCTGTGCGTAAGTTTTCTTATTGCAGCCACAGTGAACGATATATAGACTGGCCAGGGTACTTGCCACCCGTCAAGGGACCGTGTGTTTGACCCACAGATTCCAATGTTCTAGTCTCAAGGATGCCAACTGCTGACAAACCAGTGCAAGGCTGCGGCCGGATCTTTCAACCTATCTCGCGTAAAGCAGTACTCAGATGTGGGATGAACTTAACGTTAAGACAGGCCTGCACGTGAGCATGGTTCAGCTGCCGGTAACATTCTCTTCCGCGCTCTATCCGACTTTTTGTTTAACCCAAAGGTTTCTATTGTTGCGCTATACACGTAGTACTCCGAGGAAGTAGACTGCATGACCTTATGCGTGGCTAGCCTTGTAGCAGAAACAGTTGGTGTCGACCCTCCTTTTGAGGAGTAGCAGGAGCAATGTCAGAGAGAGTGGGAGCAGGAGGCAAGCGTAAGCAGGGACAACGCCGGAGTTGTGGGACACATGCAATGAAAGACAATGAACGATTTGCGTGATGTTGCGTGATAGTTTAGTGCTGACACTCTCCCATTATTTAAGCTACACTTCTGCGCTTGCAGGGTGGCTATGCCGGCGGCTTCGGGGCCTTAGCGTGGGGGCCTCTAGGATGATTCTGCTGCTGTGGAAATTGTGTTTGCGTGCTCGAGGGAGTCTCTTCACTTGATGCTACGCAATGCACCCCAAGAGGCCTTGCTACCCTGCTAGACTTGAGACTTTGTACCTCAGAGGCTACAGAAACCGTTCCAAAGCATTGAGGGCTTCGGGATGTTCAATCATATTGTGGAGGGAAAGCTTTCCAACTTTTTGGTCAGTCTGCGTCTTGCTCTGATTTGATCCTGCGGCCGCAATTGCAAAGCCAGGAATACGTAGTTTTAGATCTGGCACTTGGAGCGGGTATATGGGCATGAAGATATGTGAAGGTTTGGATAGATAGACGGAAGCTGGAAGCTCGCAGGTTCAAGAAAGGCAAGGTAGGCCACATGAGGGAGTCTTCTGGCTCTCTGCTGTATGTGTAGCCCAAAGCCCTTCGCAATGTACTGAAGGCATACTTGGCTGGCAGCATGGATGGACCTGCATGTCATCTCTTGATGGCACATGCCTTTTCTAAAACTGGTGGTTGCAAACTCGCTTTTCGCAGACTAAGCCTTTCATAGATATTTAGATAATTCTTTGCACGTTTTCAGGGCTTCCTCTTGAAATGGGAGCTAAATCGTGGTGAACCAGTCAACACCTGGTTCGTCCTTTCCCCCAAATAAATGGCCCCCCATTCATGTAGATACGCGAACCCATATTTGATATCGGGGAGCATGTATCGAAGGACCCGAACATCAGGGGGTATATAATGAGATCATCAATCCAGGTAGCCAGCATGAGGCAGACAGACAGACAATTGACTTTTCAAAGCAGCCAAAGTAGTTCATGCGCTATATAGAGGTGCCTCTTCAGCCACTCAGTCAGACAGGAAAAGTTCGGGGCCTATTATATGTATATATTTTTGTATATATTCGAAAATAACCCCTGGATGAATCCTTACCGATCAAGTATAGGAACCCGCCTTAAAGGGACCCCTAATTTTCGGATACCGGCGGAAGAGTCAAGCTTGCTGCCTAAGGCCAGTTTTTGAGATCAAAATATCATCCCGGGGAGGGCTAGGAGGGTTGGAAAGGGTTTAATTATTAGGGGATTGGGATGTTGGATTTTGTTTCTGGAATTCGTTTTGATAAATCCCCTTATAAAACCATTCAAATATAGAATCTAATCCTTAAGTGTCATATTGGGAACCCCCTGATTTAGAGGATCCGGGTCCTAATTACTTTATTCTTGGCCCTTCTAAAAGTAGTCTTGGGGCCAGATTTCAGATCTTGGAATTCAGGGGAACCAGTGATTTAGATTAGGGGGCTTAACAGTGGCGGGAACGGATTACAAATCATGCAAGTCTCTCAGCATTTAGGGGTGTCGTTTGCAGAGGCCACCGCCGCCATCTGCACCTTCGCGGCGGCAGGATGGCATCTTAAGCAAGCGCTCCCTTAGCTTTGTGGCGTGCTAGGGCTCAATGTGAATTCTGATGTTGTGTGGTTTTAAGTCTGGGTGTGGGGCGCTCTGTGCATTGTGCTTCGCGTCTGTCAACTTCTGATGTCTCTGCCGCTTTAGTCCTGGACGAGTCAACCCCAGACGACGATCTACTCCCCTTGCTGACTCTACAGTTGGAAGCTTCCGCTGGTTGCTGAATCGCACTATACGGTCCTTTTATTGAATCCATGGGCCTCTTTCCCGCCACAGTATGTATGCCCTGAGATCACAACTGCTCTCCAAGCTCTGCAAAAAATTCTGCCAGCTCCGAAGCTGACGTGCGGTAGAATCCCTTCGAGTCGCAGCTTGACGAGTTTCCTCGACGTGAAGCAACATTAGTTTGGAGCGGTTTGGCGTTAGGCATCATTTTCGCGTAGCCAACACCTATACTATAAGCCCTAAGCATTCGCGGTGTGTCGAATTTCATCCAGAGCTCATGGGTTGTGAGGCTGGCTAAGATGTTTCATCAGATTTCGAGGAGCCGGCGCCAGCAGCAGCGCCGAGCCTCGTGCCACCATCGGCAGCACCTGCAGTACAGGCGAGAAACACGCAATCCAGCAAAACATGAGTACTTTTTGAAGTTTGCAACAGCGCAGCTGTCGGCCCTTCACCGTTTCCAGAATGGATCTTGCTACTTGGATGGAAGTGCAGGCATAGCCCATGTGCCAGCTGAAACTTGAGGGCTACTTCCAACAATTCAACGCTTGACCGCTGAAAAACAGGCGGAGCAAGTACAAACTGAAATCGAAGGCTAGCACGCGGCGCGTTTGGGACAGTGCAAATTATTGAGCACTCCTGTTTGAAAGGCTTTGCAGGGTACGGCTCCACGACATGTTGCTTAAGGGATGACCTTCCAAGCCCAGGAACTGGGTAGGGCCGGTAGGGACTTATCCCTGAAGATGCACCAATAGTCCATTAGTCAACAAAACTGGCGCAGTTTCTGCTCGCAGCTTCGGCTGCGCAACACACCATGTGACCTTAGAAATCAAGTCACATGATTGATTATTTTGAGGTAGATGGGTAATGACGCGTTGGTCCTTGTATGTAGCTGATAAGCAAGGACCTATGTTTAGGATTTCTTTTGTCAAGGACTTGGCCCTCTCATAACAAAAGGTTGAGGCATCTTAGCTCTATGGCGGGTTCTC